TATATATATATATATATATAGAGAGAGAGAGAGAGAGAGAGAGAGAAAGAGACCGAGCCTGGAATCAAAAATAAAGACAAATAAAAAATAGGTAAGGTTGTTGAAGAAAATTCCGTAAATGACATGCAAAAGCACTCAACCAATGTACCGAGACCAGCAAAGTCCCGCACGAGTAGAGCGATAGTGCTCAAACATGACGCAATGCGAGAATCAAGAAGGCAGCAAAGGAAATAATACTAACCTGATCAAATGTGCGAGTATTTTTTTCATTGTCAATATGAGCTTCATCTGCTTCTACTTCTGGTGTCAATTTAGTTCGCAGATAGTCGGGAGCTGCATCATGATTCCAGAAATGCACGCGATTTGAGGTACATTCCTAACAAGTATTTTTGAAAACTATTCACAAACGTGTGCACTGAATAGAGATTATTTCACAAATGGTGGTAAAACCACAATATTCTTGGATTAATAACATAAGAATGTGTATTCTTTAATTATTACAAGTGTTTATCTCAACTAGTTTTAAAGATTTATTTCTCAAAAATTTAATTGTAGGGGAATACCTCCAAATTATGATCCACATCGTTAGAAAGAGAATGAGGCACTAAAACATGAGTTCTCAGAAAGAAACCAAAATCTTCAAATCCTGTAGGCAATGCAGATTTTTTCAGTATAAATTGCAACTGAGTCATTGCACTTGCAAGCGATGAAAATTTATCCAACATATCAGGCCGGAAATACAAGTTTAAAACTAGGAATCAGAAGTAGTAGAAAGTTCAAGAAAGTTTGATAATAGATTGTGCTAATTTATCTAACTCACTACACTCACTAAAACCAGCACATGCCTACATTTCAATATTTCACGACAGTCTCATACTTTCCACTCACAAACCGAGTCTAAAAAATTTATTAATAATTACTAATGATTTTCCAAAAATAAATTCCAGAAATGCTCATGCCGAACGTACACTGGAGAGTATCGTTTTCTCTCGCTGGACGAAAACATTACTGTGCCAAATAAAATATTCTGCTTCATCCCTTGAGTTGAAGCGAAATACATTTTAATTAATGGTGATCTCGTCGTGGTCTCAGCTAAGTGAAAATTTCGGAAATTGTTATAGAGACTTACCACTCGACTTCGTCTTCTAAGTCAAGCATGAAGAGAAGCTGTTCAATATTACTTTTGATATCAAGCGCCTTGCTTTCAATATGTGAAATGGCAGTAGTGAAACGTTCAGGTTCATGCTGATGGCCAAATAAACCATTTGGTAGAGAATTCATCACCCTCAGAGACCTCAAACTTCCTTCTACTGTATAAAAAAAGGAATTTATTGAGTCACAACACCATCAATTGGAAAATTCCAAAAGAAATCTTACAAATTGCATACCAGGACCCCGACACCCATATATCCAACTATTGTGACACGGATCCAGGAAAGATCTCCTCGAGGCTTTATGATACATATACAAGGAACAAGACCATATCCATTTGTTGAGCTCACATAAATTTCATATCCTTTACTTTCTCATAAACATTCGACTTTTAAGACAGAAAAATACGAACACTGAGAATTGAACACTGGAACACTAAGGAATTAAAAACATAAAATAGTAGCGAAACAATAATTTATTAATGAATATATTGTTCTGCTTTTGGTGGCTTACCACAATTAATTCCCCATTAATAATAATTATTACAATGAACATCTCTATAACACTGATAACTTTCCGACATTTTCACTTATTACACAAATAAAACTGCGTCTAGTACAGAAATGCAGGTATTATTTTCTGAGAGCAGCATCAACAATCCGCTTCCGTATTCGTCGCTGTCTATTTTCTTCTTGTTTTATCAACTCCTCCTGATCAAAACTTAGGCTTATCAAATTTTCATACTGTATACCAACCACATTTACTGCTGATGGGGCTACCTGAAACCAATAAAGCTTCATGACATTCATTTTGTAGAGATATGTGTAAATACTAAGTTATCAACCAAATAAAACAAATGGTTTACACTTCTCATAATTATTCATTTCGAAGCAGTTTGGTGCCGAATAAATCAATACTAGTTTGTCATGATCAATGAGGAGCTCATCAAAAATACCACCTGCAAAAGTAATTCCGCAAATACTGAAACAAAAGCCAAATACCACTCAAACCCAAATAAAAACCTGTTTCATGAGAGCATCACCAATGGCTCCCTCATTTTCCCTAACAGCTCTCTCAACTTCTGCTTCTACATCTAACGCATATCGTTGGTTCAACTGATGCATGACTTCAGCGCTCCGCTCACCACCATTGAAACACACGATATCCATCCAGAAGTCCTCATTCAATGGAACCGGACAACGCCCATTAGGTCTCAGGAACCGCTGATCCATAAAACGCTATATGAAGGGTGCACGAAAGTCACTAGAGCCCCTGATGAAATCTATGATTTCTAAGAACACACAACAGCAACAGCAACAGTATAAAGTCATTTCCAAAAACTGACTCCAGCTTAAAAACCTTAAGCGACCCACAATGAAACAACTGCTTAGCTCTACTTCAAACATATGTAGAAGTAGCCACTTTCTAACCCCCTGTAATCTCATACTTATCACCATAAGAACTGTTACCAGAACTTGCAGTAATACCAATTGGTACGAACCTCCAACTGAACTCCCTCAATACTTTTAAACAATCATAAACTTCTACTATACACCCATATTACAGAAGTTTTACCAAAATTTGTCGGGATGCTTTCTTCCATCACTTCCGATGACTGCAGGACGATTCCAAACTAAATTTTAATCGATAAACTTGGATGATTTGAAAAGTATCAAAAAAAAATTTTAGGATTTACTTTGTGTATCAACATCTCCACATCATAAATTCATGGGACATAACCTAACATTTCACACTGCATAACAGACTGAAAAGTGAGCAAAATGACAAAGTACCAAGAAAATTGAGAAAACAATGACCATTCAGTAGGATGCAAGAAAATAATTCACTTAATGATCCCCTAAATTTCATATATGAAATTTAAGTAATTGCAGTTGATTTCTATACATAATCTAATGAATACAGTTCAAGTTAGATCATATCAGACCCGTATAAACTAATGAATTCATGTCTTTGCCGGAAAAACTTCGATGGTCTACATTCTTGAACGTCCTACTCTAAAGATGGCCTCTTAAACTCTCAATCGAAAACGAAAAAAAGGTGGGCTTTGCAACAAACCATTTAGATGGTGATGGACCAATCTGAAAAAATAAGATGAGAAGAAAACTATAATATTACAAGTGGACGCAAGTCAATGATGATTATAAAAAAATTATTCGAATAGAAAACCTATCAAGAACTTCACGAAGACTGAATGGTGAAAACAAACCTTACGGTAACAACCCTAATCTGCACTTTCATAAGATCATGTAAGGCACAGTATCATGAACACCTGTAAGAAGTACTGAAAACCGATTTGAAATACTAACATGTCATTGCAGATATATGAAACTAATATGGTACGTAGATTAAAGATGCGAATCACATGCTTGTAGAAATTTTTGGCTCGCGTCCACCTTTGACATTATACCAAGAGTGAGTTACGAATGAACAAAAGATAAATAATGGTCATAAATAGTCATAACTAACTCCAATCTCCACCGAAAACACGTAACTCTCTATTGACTTCTCAAGAAAACGCAGCTTTCAAACCACTGCACAGCACGTATTTAAAACAAATTAATGCAACAGAACCGAACAAGAAATAATGAAATACAAGATGTAAATAAGTTAACATAAAGGTTGTCTACAAATTTCTAATATTTCCCTGCAGAGAACATCTTATCGATAAGACATATGAAAACCATTTAGAGACAAGCCAGAAATGTTTGTGTTAAAACACAAGAACTACAAATTAGAGTTGCCGATGACAATTTGAGAAGATGCATTAAAAAAACAGACGGAAGCAGTGTTCCCACACAACTATTTAATCGTAATGAACATTAATGAGATCAGTTAATCAATGAGAGTAAATCAAAGACATTCAAATGTGCACGCACTTTTGATGGAAAATTGTTAAGATTTGAAGTAACGAAAGCCACAAACAATTCTGCTTAAACATTAGAAATAATATGCAGAAAATTCAACCAAAATCAACTTGGTCGTGAAGCACCATGTATGACACTCACATCTGAATAGAATCTTGCAGGTTCTGGATAGCCATATTCCAAAAAATCTGGCAAACCAATATCAATATAAGGCAAAACTAATACCTGCAAACATCAACAGCTATGTCATTTCAACAACATTCCTGCACATGAAGAAACCACATGGAGGTCAACATAAACATTGAAAAACCTTACTTCTCTTCCTCGAACGTTGATTATATACGACCTTCGCGGATCCTCTGACACTTTGGCACGAATATGCTCACGATTACGCAATGTTTCCAAAGCCGGCAGCATAGCGTACCAGTCGTATTTTCCATTACTTAATGGCGCCCTCACTTTATCAGGATTAAACGCTTCACTGCAGCTTTGAGCGTCATCTGTAACGAAATCACCATTTTCTGTTGTCTTGCAATACCTGCAAAAAAAATCTATGACTGATTCTAGACAGCACTTAGCGCCACATCAAAACTGATTGGACAGAAATCCGAGAATACGAGACCATATTGCATATAAAAATCTTTCTTAGTGACTAAAGAAAATGGAAGTGAAAGATATAAACTTGCCTAGCACTGTTAATTATTTCTGCTTCATCATCTCCAATAAATCTGCTTCTTCCCACACTCTCTTTGTTTTCACTAAAATCGTTTCTTAAAGGAATACGCTTCTCCTTCCTATTAACTTCTGCTTGAAGTGATGACAGAACAGGCGTTCTCCACAAATGACCAATGCACTAGAAACCATTACAGTCAGAATTTGTGTACCTCAATACTACGGCGTCAAACTTTTTTAATGTAATTAATTATTAGTTCTTACAACAATAAAATTTCTCAACAAACAATAAAAAAGGCAGTTTTGAGAGTAAAGAAAAACTACACTCATCATGGAAAACCTCTTTACCAAGCAAACAGTAATTATACCAACTTCATATGTGTGAATGTATGGTGACTTGAAACCCATAATTAGAGACTTGGTCGAATTATACAAACATTTATGTTAAATCCCAAAAGGAAGAATAAAAACTGATTCATGTGATACCGGACTCACTGGTTGCTTTTCCTCACTGGTTTCAACTAAATTGTCAAGGAGATCTCGAGTCCTGGGTATGTCAAATGACAAATATCCAGGCAAGTTTTCGGTCAATTGAGCAACCAATTCACTGGTTGACTTCACATCAGCACGCCGAGCAGCGAGCAAAGATTGATGAGGAACAGCAGGAGAGACCGGAGGAGAGTTGTAGCACAAACGTTTACAAATCTTTTGAACAAAAAGAGGTGCGCCATATGTTTCATTAACTGACTCTAAAAAATAACGGAACAGAACCCTTTCCAACTTCTTTTACACGATAGAAAACTCTGAACATTTTGTCATTACCTATGTCGGAACTCCCAGAATGATCAAATCTTCTTTTCCCATTCCGAATCATTTCACCACAGGATGACAATGAATTTTCGACTGCTTTCATGGCGAGATCAGAACCAACCGTATATGCTTTTTGCATGCTTTCGCATTCCAATGCATTTGAAGATATGTCCTGTCTCAGTCTCTGACATGGAACAACAGCACGTCCATTCAAAGTCGCCAAGGAAGTGACACAACTTTGAGCACCTGCACCACACAATCATTCTATAGTCATCACTTATTATCCATAAAACTTGAACGTGGAAAGAACGTACTAGAACTTCCAGATGATGTAAGATGAGAATTGACTGGTGTCAAACGACTGTTGCCAGAGGCCGTAAGACGAGAACTGTTACTTGGAGTAACTCGTGCTCCACGAGCAGGTGTTACAGGTGTAAGACCCTTTATAACTAAAGAAGAAGCATAGCTTGGAGTCCCATTTGTAGAAGAAGAACTACTGGAAGCTGGCTTTGGTTCAGCTAACTTCTGCCAACATTTGATCAGTATTCGGCATCGTTTCGACAGTTCAGGAGCCGAGTGAGTAACTTTTTTTCGAATGTCATTCACTACAGCTCCGATCCGTGTCATCTGTAAATCAGATACGACCTAGTCAAAAACAACTTACATTAAATTGTGATGACATGATTGATTAGAAACCTCTTGGTAGTGCGCTGCAATAGTCTCAATTCCACTGATAGTTCTCATTGTTGCAAGAGATTGCACAGTAACTCATGTTAATCCCTTAAGAGGGTGAAAAATCTTCTAGATTAGATATGAAGTTATCAGTCTTCCATATCCCGAACACAAAGAGATCAACGGCATATTAACTATACCGATCATTTACTTTCGTGTATTAGAAACTTGTTCATGCACAAAGAATGCAAGATAGCAAACAGATTACGGCTTTGCTTCTCCTTTCTTCAGCTCATATTTTGCTTCAAAGTATGATAGCTATCTTGTGTTACGCTTCCTTCTCACTTTTTTATTACATAACTAAATCACTGTTAACCAAAGCTCACTGCAAATAGATATGAACTGAATAGGATGCAGATATAAATTCTGAGATGTGGCTCACCTTAAAACACATATTTATCAACTGCACTTAGCGCACAACATATACTCTGAACTCAAAGTTAATCTATAGGGAAAGCATCAACAATACGGTCTAGAATTGAGCAGATTAAAAATAAGGGCTTTTTAGAAACAAATTTAGCTGTACTTCTGGCGATTAGAAAAGCATGGAAAACAAAAATATATTTATTATGGACTGATATTAAACAGTGTAAAATTGGTGGAGAGAATGCAATGCACATAGTAATCGTTAATAATACGTGACAATGTGATTTTGTATCAAAATCGTTCCAAAGAAATTACCATTCGCTTCAAGAAACTGTAAATTGAACGATAAGCAAGCAAAGGAAAAATGGGTGAACCTTGACTGGGCTACTTGAAGCAAAACAACTGTCGTGCGACGTGATTTAGTTTGACCGGCAACAGACTATATATGTACAGACTATTCACACGCACGAAGTGTTTCTACATAATTCCAGAGATTATCAATGTACCTGTAACTATCTGTCTACCTATTTACCTATTTTGCCAACCACCAATTTGTTTGGCAAAGCCCCTAGTAAAGAAGGAAACAGAACTAGGAAGTGTTTAGCATGTGGTGGTATTTGAAATCAATCGATCTAGGAGAATGCAACACCCCACCTGTAAGTGCTCACCTGGGGGATAAGTATGAGTAACGAAAAACAGCCCTTAAGTGGTAGACAGGCAGGCAAGCAAGCAGACAGAGGAGACTAAGATCAGTTGCAGTAGAGTTAACTGCTTGCACCCTGCTGCAATGCAATGCATCCCTACAAAAACATAAACATGCATCCACCCAATCGATTGCTCATCTTCAGATCACGTCGGTTGCTGTCGTATGGGTGCGCCAACGCTGCTTCGATACTGCATGCCACCCCTAATTCCTCACCATCCTCATACTGCCTCACGACTGGGTAGAGACAGAAAGTACGGCTTTTTAAAGAGGAGGGCGGGACGCAATGAGTCTGCCACGATATGTGCCGTCGATGCATAGCACCCACAAATCAGTAGGTAGTAGCATCGGTTGACAGGCCAGTGCAGCAGGTCTAGGTAGGCGCTCCTGGTTGCTGCTACAAAGGCGTGACAATGCTCGTTGCCTCGACGCTGCGTGGTACACATACACATGTGTGCGGTGCTGCTGCTCTCGAATAAGGAGTGCAGAGTGCATGCGGCACCAACACGTACGTACGTGTCCAACTCCCAACCACTGGACTAAAAGTTAGTAGTTACTGACAGATCTCTCACCTCGAGTAATTCCCTCGTCAAATTGGACTTCTCCAATTTGATGACCACATCCGTAGCTTCCTGTATATCGCCCTGCAATACTATCAACATCATTCTCGCAGTATCTTCACTTTTTGAAATAATTCATATATACCATACACCTGCACCCCCTGCAAACTTCCAATTTAAGTTAGCTTTACCAAATAGAGACTTCCAATATTATGAGTCTGGAGTACTGTCCACTAGTAGTGTAGACTAGAAGTAGTGCAAGGCACTTGCAGTTATATGTAAATACAAGGAATTTGGTTGTAAGTGGCAGTAGAGTACCAATACTGGTATGGACGGGTGGGTATCGTACTGTGGCCAGCACTCACAGAACAACGGTGCTTACATTATCATAGGCCAACAAAAGCCGCTGCTTGAGACGATCAACGAAAGTCAACGTTGGGGATTCAACCGTTGACACTGTTAATAAACCGCTGCTGGATGACGCGGATAGATGATGGTGCTGATGCTGCTGCTGCTGCATGCAGCGATTCGTTCCTGTGGACACAGTCGTTGCGCTGCTGCTTGCTTGTTTCCTTTTGCTGCCACTAATTAAAACGCCACACAGTTGATGCTTTTCTGCTAAGTAAATAAGCAGCAAAATATGAAGGTATGAATGGGCTTTTGTTCGCATACCACACATCTTTCCTATCTTACGCACCAACACCACTACACCCCACACACAAAACAAGGCCAATAACTTAGACTGGTGATCCCGTCTTAAAATCACCCTTACAAACATTCCTGGCGTTCAGTACGACACACCCACCCACCCAACTCACACACACACCCCACACTTCATCACCACTCAGAACTAACCGTCCATTCCGAGCCCCTTCCCCTACTCTGCTCAGAAGTGGAGATTGTCCGTCCTTTTATACACTCATCTATCCTCCTCTCGCTCTTCGCCTTCTCTCCCACACTATCTTTCCTCAGCTCTTCATCTATTTCAGTACATGGAACACGTGTTACGGCCCTAAATTATTTCATCCAAACCTGTTATGCAAAAATCCATCTCTCAGCAAGATTTGTGTTATTCTTCACAATTCGGGCTGATACTTAACTATTATATCATCATTTTTCCGTGCTAAAAATCACTGAAGATAAGGCTAAAGACATATTAAGGCATTCAATGAAAGTAGTGGATTTGTTACATCGTTACGCTCAATATATGCATAAGCATTACTCACTTTGGAGGTTTAATATATGCATAAGCTTTACTCACTTTGGAGGTTTCAGTCTCAAGCATTTTGTTCGCAATGTCGATGTCTGGAGAACTACTCAGTGGCTAATCCTGTTTGGTTTCAGTTCGCTGTCTCTTATTGAGTGTTCTCTTGTCAGCAGACACTTTCATCTTTGTAATGACAAACAATTATTTGCCTGTCGTATAGCGTTGCTTTTATTTGCTTACACCTGATTGCATTTGTCTTAATTCACTCGCACATAATTTGACATAATCATGATATGCTTTCTCTTGCCGCAGTAAACCTACATAACGCACAACTCGTCTTGTGTGTTATCTAGATTTATTTTTTCAGTCGTTTTGAAGAAATTCATCCTGATTCTTCGTGCCTTACAACCACAATGCTTCATTCCTATTAGTAATATCGAAATATATATATACATCGTTGTATTCTGCTAATAAATGAGCGAAAATATTGGTATAGATAGTAAACCTCGAGTTGGTCGAGTTCGACGCCGTTTTACTGATCGACTAACAACGCTGACTAGTGATCGTGTTGACAACATTGACGAATATGCAGGTATTAATTCTGTGTTATATTTAAGTACTACCATGTAGTATATTTAATTTGCATGAACTATGCTTTTTTTCTCTTTTATTCAAAAGATAATTAACTACAACAATGAAGATTAAATTTGTTTAGAACGTGTGCGTCATTTCATCGTCTTATAAACAACTATTAAAGCCAGTGCATTTTACGAAAGGTTTTATTTGTCCTTGAATAGCAACCTACTGCTTGTGTTTCTGGAAGCATTGTATATTTGTGTCACTAGTCATCATTTTCCATATTATAACAATGAAGCAATTAGTTGTAAGAATGAAATGCTAGTCAAATAATGCGCTGTTGTTACATATTTACAATATAATTGATTATGAACAAAGCACAGAAGAAACTATTCTTTGAATATAGTCAAAGAAACTAATGTTCCTATCTTATCTTTTGAACAGTTGTATCGGTAAGTGCCACAGTTTTTCTTTTGGGAGTATGAACATGCTTTGGGAGCTGATTACAAATATGTCTACAATTTTAGATCTGGATGTGAAAGATTTAGAGAAATGTGGTGCAAGGAAGTATTCAGTTGGTTGTGTTTTCAGAGACACACTTGACTCCTCTATAAAAAATTCTTTGAGCATAGATTCTAAGCAGGATTTCAAAGGCATCATTAGACGTCCACTCACAGGTGTCATTTATATTTCTTACGTTTAGCATTAATTAGTGGTAGCAACTCCATCAAGCTATCATATTTCTTGATTGTGATGCAGGCCACAACTCTTCAATCATGTTTAGAATTCTGTTTTATAGTATCTTGAAAAAGATAGTTTGTTACATTGACAATTAATAAATCCAAAGTTTTCAATTTCTCGGATTTTGATGTTAAAATTTATGTGTTTTCTTAGTGTGATGTAATTAGTGGATGTTTTCAAGTAATCATTATATGCATTTTCAGGATTGTTTCGAAAATCAGGAACACATTCGAAGAATGAAAGTAAAGTTGAAATAGAAACATCCACTTCTAAAACATTAACTTTCGATTATGTCGAAGGTTACTGTAAACAAAGTTTGTCGTATCACAGCGTAAAAAATAATTCTTTACCAAATTTATTTAGTATAAACTATATATTTGCGTGATTATTTTTTGCGATTATCTGATTAAATATTGCATTTAGGGGAGCTAGGTTTAATCAGTTAATTTGATGTGTTAATGATAACTAGCACATTATGGACTTCTTTCCCAGAAACATTAGAATTTTAATTTCAGAACATAACGTTGCCACGAATGCGAAAATGCCATTTTTTGAAAATGTTTGTTCTTCATTTCAAATTTCCAGTCCACTTTCTGTAAAATGTGTTTTGTTACACGTGATTTGAACGTAATTGGTTATTTAAAAAATTTTCCTTTCCAGCTTTTCGCTTCATACCAACTCTCTTTTTGATTGCTTCATGTTCCTAATTTTAGCTTAATAATGTAATAAATTTCAGCAAACTTTTGATGATATCGAAAATTCTTCAGGCGTAAATATTAATCATATACCAGTCCTCCATCAGCTGAATTTCATGGATCACAAGATTGCTTCCTTAGCAAAATTGGATGATATTGGTAATTATTACGTTGAAGTTCTGGTAATTCTATGGAAAATGTTTTCAGGAACAAATTTTTGCAAAAGACTTTCTGAAACTATCTGTGTCTTCTAACTTCGTTTTTCCTGTCTGTCAGTTTGCTCTTTGAAATCCAAGAGAAGTCTCAAAAATTTTAAGAATGTTCAATATTTTTGAAATTAATTTTCAAAATTTTGGTATTTTACCCAGATTTGCTCCTTTTATCACGATTTATCCTCGTGGAAGAAGAAGTGAGAGATGAAGATGTACCTTGGACTTGGGACTACCTTTTCACTTCTTTAAATGCATATGTATGCGATGAGTGGGCTCAAGATGGAGAGCGTGATGTTGGCTACAAAGATAAATATTCAAGTGAGCCGAAATGTGAATTATCATTGCGTTGAAACAAATTTACCTTCATCAAGTGTTTCCAGGGCATTAAATTTGCAAAGAATATTCAGCTAAGAGTTATGCGTACTCATCACTTGAAGCTAGCCTCCCATTATTAGATGTTTGCATAGATTCTGAAAACTAACGTTTTATTTTAACTTTTTGATATATTTTTGCTGCTACCAAATTCCTAGTATTGTTAATATTTTTACGAAATTACTGGTATGATTATAGTGCATAATTGTTCTTGCGAAAAATGCCAATAATTTGCAGTTTTCAGTTTAATAACAGAAAGTGTCTGCTGATTCTACATTGGATATAGATATTTTCTGTTGTTGTAAGGAAATCCAGAAAATCTAGCATTTGAATGTCAAGACTGTAATAAATAACTCCAAAAATTGTGGGAGAAGAAATCTCTAATTCTTTGTTTGCTATTCCGATTTCGTTTCCTTATCAGCGTTAGTTGAACGCTGAACCATCACATAGTAAGAACATTTCAAAATAAATAACGCAATTTCAGCATAAAAACCGCATTGTTCTTAATCTTGTGCGACGAAAATATTGACTGGAGTTTTAAAAGTTCTGTGGAAGAGCTGCGTTAGGGTTTGATTTTGGAGAGATTGTAGTTCTGTGATCCAATTCAGACCTTTAAAAATGATCAAATTTAGAGTTTAGAATTCAGCTAATTGCAACTGCGTTGTAGTGGAGAAATGTGTAAAACTCATAAGTCAGATTTCATATATTTGCTACGAGTAAATAACCATTAATAGGCAGTAACTGAATAGGATTTGTGAAACAGGTGGTCGGACGAGTGAGTAGTAGGAGTTCCCGAATTTTGTAAGTTGTACTTAGTATGGCATTGTTTGATTTCTTAATCCATTAATTTTGTTGCAGATTAAATCTGACGCTTTAGAATTTCCCGCAATTGATTCTCAACATGTTTTCATTTATTATATTTTTTTATTGAAAATTTTTATTTTTAGAAATAACATGGTTTTGGAGCATTTGCTCAGCTCTGAAAAATTCGCATTAGTCAATTTTTATGACTAATATCTGGGAACTCCAAGAAATATTGAAGTTTTAGCGAAAATTACAAAATTAACCCGGAAAGAGGAGTTCAATGGGCCACCGTCAAGTTGATAATTGTTATTGTATGGGTTGTGACTTACGATGTCATAACTAGTGGGATTGGAGTTGTAGAGTTCAGTGATGTAAGTAACCTAGCTCATTATTCATGTTTTTTTCGAACAGATGTAATTTGTTTAAAAATTGCCAAAATAAATATTTTGTCAGTGTGTAAGCACTCTGTATAATTGAATGTAGATGAGACGCAGAAGAAAAGATGTTGCATAGTTTACTGAAAAATTCAATCTCAATTGTAATTTTTTTTTAAAAGATTATAAACATTTGTATGAAACTAACTTTTGATTTGTGATTTTATCCAGGATAGGAATATGTTTGGAGTTGAGGAGGGTATGTGCCAACATAGTCGGAAACGTGTGATGAGGGTGGACTACCTAGGGACGTAGTGCGAGAAAATGTTATATCACGACTACATTAGAAGACATTATGAGGTCCTGCGATGCATCGATGCATCCATTGAGGACTGTGCAAAAAATGTGGTCTTAGAGTATTTCCACGCATGCGGAGCCATTCCGTCCAGGAAATCATCGCTAATGACAACGTAGAAATTGGCATCGATATGCGAGTAAGGTACTGCAACTAGAATAAAAGCGGATCGACTGGAAATCCTGATATATAAGAAGCGACGTGAAGTAATCCTGATAGAAGTTGGCATCATTGCTCAGGACAAGTTGATAGCAGTCGAGACCGAGAAGAAGAGAAAATACGGTCTACTGGCTAATAAACTCGGGGCAGAGACGGTTTGAAGGATGAAAATAATTCCGTATATGGTGACTTGAGATAGTGACGGACTTCCACGATCGTTCCGCGAAGGAAATCAGTATATCTGATCACGTTGAGGCATATATCCAGTCGATAATGCTCAAGAAAACGTTCGAAAGCATCTCAATCGATCAGCGCCGTGGATACCACGAGGACGAAGCAGTGGAGATCAGCACAGCAGAACTGAGCGCGGGGCGAGTCCAGTGAGAATGTCAGAATACGTTTCAGCGCCAGAGTCAATAATGAAGGAAAGAATAACCTTCCTGTGATATTGATTGGTTGTATAAGTTATGTTACCCAAGTTTGAGGTAATTGTGACTGAAAGATTGAGCCTTGATCTTGGATGGAACTACATTTTCTCGTAATTTCTGCTTCTATTCTTTTCTCTGTTCTGCTTTTCTGTTTTGGCGAAGGCGACCATGGAAGTAAACGGCGGAAATGTGCAGTCTGTCGCAATAATGATACCGACAGTCAACGACGCCAAGACGGTGAAAATGGTAGTAATACAACAGAACATTCTAGCAAACAATTAGATCGGTTATCCAGTGGAAGAGAACACGTTTCTGAAGAGCCTTCCACATCACAGGCGACTTTCAGGAAGTGGAAGGAAGTAAAGGACCATAACTATAATGCTCATGTAATCCCTTGTTGCAGTAGTTCTGAAGCAACGAAAACGAAACAAAGGTAAAGAAGAATGACACGTATGGCATGATCAGAGAGGAAGAAAAGATTATTACAAAAATCGTTTGAAACCAGAAAGAAGAATGTTGTCTTGCAATTAGCATATCGGAAGTCTGAGAAGAAAGTGGAGGATGAACGGAGAAAAACAGCACTCTACTTTATGGTGGAGAACATTGGCAAAACAGATGAGGTTGTGAAAAGCTCTGTGAAAGATGTGAGAAAGCACTCTGCCAGTGTACCGAAACCAGGAACAGCAGGATGATTATGCTCAAATCGGGGTTTCGCAAAGCAGCTGGTCAGGGAAGTGCTGAAGGCGATTCTTGAGCGTCTCGGGAGGATGCTAAGATAAGAATAACCCTTGTGTCTTCCTTGTACTGGAGAAGTTCGTATGTGCGATTAGCCTCCAAGAACTGAAGAAGCAAGCGAATGCCGCGATCATTAGCATTGCAGGTCGTCCATGCTCGCAGAAGCGATTCTTAGAAAAAACATAAGTAGTAAACAAGATTCGTCATGCAAATCTGTAGAAGATGCGCATAACTGAGCTAGCCTCAATGTCAAATCTCAATAAAACATTATTATATGCTTCTGTCCTAAAATAAATGTGTGGATTATTGACTTACTATAAAGTTTAGAGAAGACAGATGTTGTGTAATTTCCCAATTCTGATGCTAAAGTATATTGTGAAGCAGCTTTTTTTTGCAATAAAGTGCGAAATGAAATATAAAAAAAACTATTTTCCAAAATAATAAAAGGTCTTTATCAGTTTTTCACACTGCAAAGAGGTCAGCAAGTTGAAGTTTCATGATTTTGAGGAGTGCAAGCATCAAGGCAGATTAAAAAACCGAACTAAAACTCTGTAGAAAGGACTTTTTGATTAAAAGAGAAATAAATTTCTGCATTAACTAAATTCAAAAATACTGATTTTTTTATGGTGCTTAAATTTAAATATTGTTGCGGAGTTGCATCATTTAAGTCTCTACGAATTGGTGAGTAGTCGATTTTTGATAGGAATGGTGATATGAATGTCTCAGTACTGCAATACTTATGCAAAATTTATCATTTATTCCGTTAAAATGTTTGAATCCATTATAATTATTCATTTCATTAAAGAAATTGTTCGCATATGATTGAACTTTTATAAGCATTAAATGGAAAGGAAATTTCGCTCACAGACCTGTAGAACTGAGCACGCAATAAAAAAAATCCATCAGTGCAGACCTATTCCAGAACTGGTTTTTGAATTTGAAATAAATTCGAAGCTTTGGCAAAATTTTTTGCAATTATTTTAGAGAAGTGGAAACAAGATATGCCTACTCCATCAAGAAAGGAAGAACCAGCATTATCAGTTGATCCAGAAACTGCTATTTTTCTTCCAAATGGTGGAAAATCAGAACATATGCTTGTGAATATAAGTGACAAACGATTGGCTGTTAAAGTATGAGATTCATTTGATATGTAGTTAAAGTTCCATTAAGTTTTTTCAGAACTTATTCTGTAAATAAGTAAACATATAGTAAATGAACTCTTAATTAAGAACTAATCATGTGTTTTGTAACTTTGATATCTAAAACTCAGTTCTCTTGCAGTACAGGCATAGAACTTTTCGAAAATCATGCGTAACCTATAAAATATTTCATCTGCAGGATTGCTGAAAATTTTTATATTACGACTTCTAAAAAATTTATAAACTATGGACTTTTAATTTTTAACACGTTATGCCCAGAAAATGATCTAGCTACGAAAATATTCCATCCGCAGAATTTGTCTCTTTCTAGTAACATTTTCAGGTACGTTGTAGTGATAACAGTTTGTTCCGAGTAAGTCCGGTATATATGTTCATAGAACCTGGCTCCTGTGGTAATTTTGTGATAACGAGGCTACCTGGTCATTGCATTATTTTTTAAATTTTTTAATTTTAGATTTATGAATGGATTTTATTGTTCGACCATTTGAATAATCAATTTAATTTATTCGTATAACAAAAGAAAATTATGTAAAAAGATTGTTCAAGCCGAAGTTGTCTTGATTTTTCTTTTTTTTTTCAATTCTATCCATCCTTAATTTATAGAAGTAATGAACAGTTAATGAATTTTTCAAATTCCAGAGATAATCTCGAACTAAAAAAAAATTTAGCTCAATAAATAATATATCAAAAATGTCTTTTCTATATTTAGGTCCAGCAAAATCGGACAAGTTGGTGTTTCATTATTTCTTTTGTAAACCCAACGATCTGGAACCGAAGGAAGTGTTTAAATCTAATGCACAAAAATCACCGGAAATACTAAAATTGCCAATTAATATTATTTCTTTTGAAGATGCACCTAAGGTGATGAACTGGACTACATTTTCATTCTATGCAAACTTCATTATGCTCAAATCCTAAGCTATATGCACTAATTTCTCTCAATTTAATTAATTTTGGTATCGAAACTGGAATAATGTTTGGAACTTTGTGAATATTAAAACTCACCGACATAAATTTAGGATGCGTTTTCAATAAATCACAGAAATAATATTCTTGAGCATACTAAAATCATTTAGCATATATCTCTTGCTGAATGATTTGAACTTATGAATCAACTTTATATAACAGGAACTCTTCAAATTTGTAGATTATAATATATTGGATTCCAAATCAATTTTGTTTGATGATACTACCTTCTACTTTATGCATTATAGTAGCTCATCTCTAACTGACAGAGTGGATGAAATGGACAACTTAATTATAAGGCTGTATATGATTAAATAGCGCAAACGAACTTGTATTTCAGATCGGAACCTCATCTTCCTTTGCTGATCATCAAGGTCCTAAGTAAAAATTTCGATCGGAGTTTTGAATGTTATAATTTAAATCTGAACAGTGAAATTAAGTAAAAAATAATCCTTTATTATTGTTTATATAGTAACATGATCAAGAGATTTTTATTGCACTCATGTTTGACAGCAAGAAAGTAAGTGCTTTGTGATAAATGAAAAATTCAGTGACGTAGTTCCAAAAGTGCTTTCGAACATTTAAAATTGTATGCTCGTTTGACATTAATTGCTACAAGCGCTATTTGCTTTAACTATTGCTGTAGCGATCTGCAATGTAAAATACTCTATTTCGGTTGAAAATATTCCTTCTACTTTGATTCAGCAAAGATACATTTTTTAGGAGTAATATTATACAACAAATGTTAATATTATTAACATTATTCATGTTTCTCAATATGTGACAAACATTTCTAATAGAGAATATGTAGCTGCTGTTGCTAACCTTTGCCATGTTATATGAGTTTACTTTCACTAATTGAGTTTAATTTCAAGCTAATTTCCATCTAAAACATTGCGTCGAAATGTGTAGGAACTTTGAAAAAACATTCTAACAGTTCACTTCCCTTGAAAATACTTTCCTCGCCCAAACTTAAACTAACAAATTCAGATTTGAATAAATCGGACAAAAGTAATCCAAATAGTAATAATTATGTTTACTTCTATATATCACAAGTTTTCTTCTCGAAACGCAGTCGTAACGTTTAAACAACATATCAATTTATACTGCGAGTTTAGCGAGTTTAGCGCGTTTTCAAGACAGAAATAAGGGACAGAGTCGTGACTCAAGTATTCATGACTTTGTCAAATTTTTAGTTAACTTTATAGTTAACCTTAATTTATAGAAAAACCGCATTCCTTTCAAATAAAATTTTTGACAAAGCTCCTTTCTCGTCTAGAAACCCAAATCATTGTCTTTCAATAAAAGATCGAAATGTATATTATCTTTCCAATACTATCACTTGAATTTCAGGTGAGAACAGATAAGAACTTCTACACAGAACAAACACTATGAAAGAAACAATGCATTTAAATAATCACAAATTTTCACTGGTTGATTACAGTCATAAAACGCTCATTTTATAGTGGTACAGAAGAGACCCGTTACCATTTCATCAAAACTGTTTCAAAATGTAACGTGTATTTAAGTTTATGATTAAAATCACTACGCTAAGTTAGCATCGGCCAATTCATCTTTAGTAATAAATTATTGGTTTCAAAATCAATACAACAATCATGAAAGTGTACCACCAAATTCCAGAATAGCTTTACTAGGACAATATATGAAAATTCAGTTGATTGTATAAATTAAGGGAAAATCATGAGCGACGAGATTTCACATTTTGCGTTCTTTTTTCTTGCTTAATGAGGTATACTGTGTATTTTTCATTCTACATCATCTGTTCACGATTTGTAGGTTCTCTTTGCTCTCCACTTTTAAAAAACAAGGATCAGAATAATTCGTAATGACAGACATTGAAGATGCAAATCAAGAGAATATGAGAGCGAATCACGAACGAGACAACGCTCTTTTACTAACATGTGCGAGGCGTAAGAAAAGCATGAAAAAATACGAAGAAGAATTAATATCTAATGGTTTGTTTTCTGTTCGGTTCAAGGTATAATTATGAATATTTACATCATTTGTATTGTGTACCGAATTAAATCGATTTAGTAAGTGTCAACATTAGGTTAAAAACTCTGTAGTAAAAATTCTCTAATGTACTGCGCGACGAAATTGCACATTTTGCATTCTTTTTTTGCTTACATGAGGCTACTGTGTACTTTCCATTCTACATTATCTGTTCACAACATTTTATTTATTGAAAAAATGCTGTTATGGAAAATTTTAGTATACTACCAATCCTTTTCCAGAATTGCTGTTTTCTTGGTTATTTAATGCAGATTAATTACAGGGAACGCATTTTCAAATAAAGCAATAACTTCCTTTTTTGTTTGTTTTGTTTTCTCAACATTGTTTGAAGTATATTTGAAAGCACTGTAAAATGATACTTGAATGCATACAGCAAAAATATTACAGTTTAAATCCTTGGTGAGATTTTGTTGACTCCAAGAAAGGGTAAAACTTTCTTTTTTTTCTTTATTGTTCTAAATGTAAAATTCAGCCAAAATTTATAGTTGCAGAAAATACGTCGTTATCTGTCCACAGAAAGGAATTGTTAAAACTTGCTGAAAAAGATCCAGGATTTTATAAGTTCTTGAAAGAAGAAGAATCCGACTTATTAGCCTTCAGAGACTTAGAATCAGGCTCTGATAAAGGTTAGCTTTTTGAAATGATTACTTGGTTGACAATTTCTCAACCTTTATTTAAGTTATTCGGGGTTCACACTCCTATGCAATTTGTTATGTTTTCACACCTTGTGACAACTTTTTGCTCGATTTTTCACTTCAGTGTATTCTCAATCGTAACGACATAAATAACCGAAGTTAACTGCGACTTACAGTTTCATATTTTTTTTAGAACTTTAACTGCTAAGAAATGATGTGTGGAGGAAAATTTTCACTATATATTACACATTTTTTACGAACTATTTTGGAGGAAGATTACTGATTTTTAGCTGTTATTTCCTTCCTTCCCGACATCTTCATAATTTAAGCTTTTTAAAAATACAGCGCATTGAACGAAATCATCCCTGTTCCAGATTCGGACAGTGAAGTAAACAAGGAAGAAAAACGATTTTTTGAAGAAAAAAACCTGCTAAAGGGTAATGTGGGTCGGAAAATTATTGATCAAAGCTTTGTAGAAAATTTGCAGAATTGTTTACTGGAGACGGTATTTCATTACTTTTTTTTGATATTTGTTATCTGCTTCACTGTTTACAATAAACGAGGAGATCATTTTTAACTTTATTTATGGAATTAATTAAAAGCGCTCCCTGGTTTTTTAATTTTATTTTTGGACAAAATTATTATGGATTATGTAATTCAGGAGCAACCTTATATCTCAGTATGACATCTGTGCTATATTTCGTGTTATTAAGTTTTAATGCATTTTCGTATTTTTGTTGAAGAGTCGACCAAAATTATCATTGCTTCGTGAAGTAGTAGCAGCGTTTACTGCATGTGTAGCGCGAGTTGGAGCTAATATTGAACTTCCGAATTACATAGTCAACGATTCTGATGTTTTCGAGAGCATCATTCGATTGTGTTTTTCATATTTGGGCAAGTGTCTGCACATGTTGATTGGTGAAATTAGAACTGAACCAAGTGAAGGAGCTACTGATTTAAGGTTTAGGCAAGTTGGAAGGCTTAAGGGCAGACAGTACAAACGCTGGAAGAAATACAGTAGCTTATTAAAGAGCTATTTTCATGCTCTTACGCTGGTGATTTCATTTTTACAATTAATTTTAAGGCAGTATTATCATAAACTTAAATTTAAGTATATTTGGAACTATTTTTACACATTCTCCTTCATTGACTTATCCAATTATTCATAGTTTCTACTGTTTTTTTTCTCACTGGCTTCAGTTATATGTGCTAAAATGTACGAAATCATTTTGCAAACCGTTGATTTTGCATCAAGCATTAGTAATCACTCAAAGCTCTCTTTTTTTGCAGTTCTTGAATGAAATCCAAACACCAGATGTCATTGTATGTACATTGCGTGCAATCACCGATCTGCTTGAGCTCTACATTAAATTTCCAAAACTTATTCGCAATTTAACAAAAGTTAGTTCGGAACATTTACCGCATATAAAATCCCGAAATCATTCATTGCCGCATTATTATTAAAGTTTTATTTGTGCTTTAAGCTACAGTTTTTCAGTTTTCAGATACTAGTGAGAATTTGGAGTCGTCGGACACTTGAATGTCGTTGTGCAGCTTTCTTTGCTGTATACAAATTAGTCAGGATATCTAAGAGTACTTTCTCATCAGTAATCAAGGTTAGAATTGTTCGGAATGTTTCCTGCACTATAAGTGACTACTGTGCAGTAGGTTTTTTGAAATTTTTTTCGCTTCGTATGCGAATACTTCTTGCTTAGTTTTTCACTACTAGCTATTCTTTTAAGTCATATGAGTAGCAAATAATTTACTTTAGAAGTTGATTGGGGCTTGCAATTTTACGCTTTTTCTTTAACCTGATACGAATGGTGGGAAAATTTCATTGTATAGTCTTGGGTTATTTTAGAGCTTTTATTTTGGTTATGTGACCAGTGCTCGAGATGTCAGCGCTGAATCATGGTGTTTAGTTGCATTTATGCAAAAATCTTTTGCCGAATTATGTTTGGTATATCCAGAAGTATCATATCAATATACATTTGTATACATTAGACAAACTGCTATTCATCTTAGAAATGCAGTGATAGCGAAACGTAAAGTTAGTGGTCTTCTTGGTTTGGCTCTTAGTTGTCATGCTAGGGATAAAGTCAAGTATTCATTCAAACTTTTGAAAACCGTATTCTGAAGTAAATTTAACAATAACTTTAATGAACTACAGACAGGATTAAAAATTAATTTGGCTAAAAACATTGTTCTTTTTGTATTATTTATATATTTGTTTCACTTCTATACAATAGCATGGTTGTAGGACCTTATCCAAACTGTTTATAATTGGCAGTTTATAAGGTGTTTGTATCTGTGGACCCAAGTGATTGGTAAAGCTCATCGTCTTCGTATTTCCAGTGCGGACGGTAACATTGGTGGATTAGAAGAACTTGCTTATCCATTATGTCAGATAACGATCTCTTTAATGAAGTATGTCTCCAAATTTTTTCTTTTCAAACTGCTAATCATTGAAAAACGGAAAATAATTTCTAGTTCTAGTGCATTTAATTTTTTAGGCTTTTCCCATCCATAAAGTATCTTGCTTTACGACTGCACTGTCTTCGAATATTACTGATTATGCAGCACAATTGTGAATTATATGTCCCGACACTAGCTCTTGCTACTGAGGTTCTTTTTATTTCGTGCTGAAAGGAATATCTTTTATTTTTGGTTTGTGTAACATTAAATTTGTGAAGGCTCCACTGATTCCACGAAAACATCATAAAAGCATGCAAAAGATTAGCTCAAGAGTGAAAAGTTTTGACATTACCTTTCGGAAAAATGCTTTTTATATTCAAAATTTTTTTTTGCTTGTAAAAATTTCTCTTCCTTTTAATTTATAGCAGTAAATTTTTTGAAGATCACTTTTGAGATTATTAAACAATTGATAACCTTAGTTGCTCACTGACGTACTTCTGTTGTCAAAAAAGAAGCCTACAAAAGGACAAGGAACTCATAAAAACATTGATATGAAATGTTTTCTGAAGGTTTGATTTACAGTTCTATATTAGGAGATACGAATAAACGTTTGGTTGAGTTTTGAATACGTACTTAATGAAATATTTAAATCTATTTTTCTACAGATTTCTACAGCCCATCTTGATGATGTTGGATTTAGGCAAGCAGCCTTGGAAGAATTATTCAGCATACAGCTTGAGGCTGCTCATGCTATACAAGAAAACTGTGCATTTGCAGACATTATCGTTCCTGTAAATCAAAAGGTAAAAGCAGTGCTACATCTCAACATTTTTGTAAAAATACATTTCAGCGCAGATAGAACGAGAAAAGTCCTGATAATAAAAATGATCTTCCATTCTTGTCCTTGTTGGTATTTATAATAAAATTTTTAGGATTGATTCTGCCCTCAAATATTGATAAGTTCCATCATTTTGACTCTTGATCTAATTTGTTTTTTTTTTCAGATAAGGGAATTCGTCAAAAGTTGCCGTAACGTGGAATTCTCACGACTTTTTAGATCACTAGAGATTAAACTGAAAGAGCAATCAATTTATACGAGAAAAATTATAGATAGCACAGATGTGGATCTCAGGAATGAAGCATTGATGGTTCGTACTACTTTTGACTCATGCAGTGAATTAACATGATTTCCACACTTATACTATCTATAAAAACAGGCTCCAAGACATGCTTTCCCTTCTGGTTCGTTATGAAGGTGATTGACGATTTCTAAAACTAATTCTCTTAGAGTGTTTCAGAAACATTTAGGGCGACGATTCAAAACTACAGATGCTCCTCTGACCAGGTTTTATAACTCATGGCAAAACATTTGGAAGTTAAAGCAAAGTAATGCATCAAATGCGGTAATCTTTTCTTCGATCTATATGTCTATTCCCACGTATTCAAATCATTAGATTCTGGGTTTCTAAATTGTCAGTTTCTGTGAACATTTCAAATTCTCGGAAACTGCAGTTTGTTTAATTCCTTGAATTTACTCTTGACATAAACTGGAGTGTGATGTAATACTTCCTAACTAGAAATTAGTGTTCTGGATTTTTGCAGGGTTTGATTCCTACAGATACTAAAAAATTCACGTCAGAAATGTCTGAAATGCAATCGATGGCTGAAAAAGACACTAAAGTTAAAGTATGTATTGAACCATTTTATCCCGTCTTTAGAAATTATTTTTTATTATGCAATTATGTGTTCAAATGGTTCAAGTTAAATCTGTGACACCGGTTCTCAAATCGGAAACTTGTTATATTTATGCCTTTGTATTCCCACTATAAAATTTTGTCTACAGCATCAAGTTTCACAAGCTCGTCGCTCTAAGATCGTAAGAAGTAAGATAAAGAAAATGAAGAGACAGACCAGAGAAACTAGACTTTCAAGTATCAGAAATGAAGATGCCTTGGGAGATTTGGTACTTTCAGATATCGATGATTTCTTTTCATAATCGTTTCCTTTGTGAATTTTATAATTATTTTTATTGTTGATTATTGATTGCGTACAAAAACATAATTATTAGAACAACAAATTTAATGAAGTGTCTGAACTGTAGGATAAAGGTACGATTTTATAGAAGTATTGACATGTACCTATGATTAATCTCATAATCATAGCAATTCCTTCATTGTTACGTCTTTTAGGGGTTTCTTGAATGCATCAATAATAGACATGTAGAGTAAATATGAATTAATTGTTTCTGGCCTTCGAAAATTTCGGGCTTTGTTTCTATTGAAAAGTTCGGTTCTCAGAAACCAGCGAGAATGGATACTTAAATAATTAACATTAGAGCTCAGTCATAGCGACTGCTATTTCAATCACAATTCTTCAATTTTGTCTTGCATGTTGCTGAAGTTCGTAGTATAAGTCCTGCTCTTAAATATCAGTCTCTTAAAATTCTTGGAAATGTTAGCTATATACAACAAAATCTCACAATAACATCAAGATTACCTTTGCAAAGATTAAAATAGGTAAGGCGAGTCAACCACCGCAGCTCCAATAGCGATTCCTCCTTTGTCGACGTTTTTGCCTTTGCTTCTAACAATGTGTCCCCCAACATGATTCGTGATAACTTCTTCCTGTGAAGTACCGATCGCAGGAGAACCATAAACATAAGCATAGATGCCCAATTCTCCAACTATATCCACCATGACCGGTTCTTCCTCGGGTCGAATCAAGTAGTTCTGTAACCACCAAGAGTGAGAAATCTGCCGGAGTATGTGGTTGTGCAGATAATTCTCACCCACACTTCTTGCTTGCTAACAAAATCCAAAACGCCATTCTTTATAGAGACCATTTCTTTATAGATAGAAAACAACCGACATACACTCAACTGCAAAATAATTTCACAATCAAGAATTACTTTACCTTAACAACCATTGGCGTTATGCGTTCCATCAATGTAAGCGCCGCAATTTCTTCTTTATTCATAGTTTTCAATTGCTCAGCAACTTCTTGCCCATAATAGTTGCCCGCTCCACCTTCTAATTGAGGTTTCAAGACAAATTTCTCAGGATCTGCTATTGCATTCTAAAATAAAAATCACTCCTTCTTAGCGTCAGATAATTCATGATCTGAATTGTAACTCGCTGAATATTAATCATCCGATTTTTCGGACCATTCTACTGAATAGTAACAAGTTCTAGAGTAAACTATCTGACGAATAAAACTGATGCAGAAGAGAGAAAAATATACATTGATTATCTTTCTGGTTTCAATATCATCATTTTCCAAGCTCCACAAGCCTGCGAATGTTTTTTTGATTCTTTCGCATAGTCTATCATCAGTTATATACTTTTCCAGAATACCTTTTTCCGACAAAAGCTGCAAATTTCATGGGAAAGAGAATTAGAAGACTTAAAATTTGACAAAAAAACAAAAAGTTTAGGAAGCAGAGCCAGACCTGTTGAACCTTTTTCGTATTTGCCAGCTGCAAACCAATCCACGGACATTTTATTGCATCAGACAATTCAATGTTTCGACGTGTGATCCATTCTCTTGCTGTCTGATAATGTTCTGGCGAGTAACCAGCTCGAAAATAGACAACAGCTACATGAAACTTGTTATCCAATAAAAGGTGATGATTTTCGGCGACTGTTAACCTTTAAAATTATGCATAGTGACGTCAATTTAATGACTTTCATTATTTTGAATTTAACTAATAGACTGTAAAATTTTGATTCTATGATTTGCACGAAAAATGCAAATCATGGTATTGTAGTAAATTCAGTAGAGAATAAAAGGTTAAAGCCATATTTAACAAAAAAAAAGAAGCACACAGAACAAAAATGGATATTTTTCGATACTTCTGAAAGTTTATAATTATTCGAGATCGTCACTTATTGTAAAATTAATTAAAATTGAACTTGATTTGGACATACAAACCGTTCTGCACCATCGGTTAATGTGATGCGTAAACATCGCGTACGCCTATTGCTTATGTTTTCAAGGCGATATTCAATATGTCTTTGATCGATTTGATTCTGACTTACATCTTCCACCACGAACAATACAACTGCTTCGTTCATTCCATAATCACGCCTGATAAATTTCGAATGCCCAAATACGGTAATTCACATGAGCATATTTTGAAACAACACTTTTAAACTCTGACTTCATAAATAATTACAGAAGTGCAAAAATTTTTCTTCAACTATGAACAATTTCTTCAGAATATAGTCAAGCAAATGAATGTTCGGAAATTTCAGAACTCTGCCAAGAAATTTTATCATTTTATTTCCCATTTTTTATCAATAAAACACTATAGAGGAAAAGTACCATGCTTCAAAGATTCCTTCAGATATAGTATCTACGGCACGATTTTCTGGAACAGCTATCTTAATAATATCCTTAGGAATCCGCATTGTTTCCAGTAATCTTCTATGCATGCAACTAGTTAGCGCAGCAAGCGAACCCATGCTTGCCGCGATGTTATTTACTTCGATCTGAAATCCTGATATTCAAGTTTACATACCTTCTGAAATCGTTGGTAAAAAACAAGTTGACACTTCCAGTAATTATTTTTGGAGAAGAATTTTAGTTTCGCTTGCATATGGAAAATTATACTGTTTGAATTTTACTCCCTTTATTTTGAGAAATTCAGAATAGAGTACAAGGATGAGATAAGAAAACTTATACAGAACTAATTGGGCTTGCATGTTTTAAAAAACCTGTTTTAAAAAACGATTTCCATGAACATCTTCATGACACATGTAATCGTTCCTCTGTATCAACAACGTCTTTTTTTGCCAAATGCCTGCATCCCATACATCTTTAAGAATTTCGACCAAATGTCTAAAAATAGAAAAAAATTTGAAATCAATGATGGAAAATAATTTTTAAAAACAATGCGACCGACAGAATAATTATTTTACGCCAACAAATAACCAAAAAAACAACTTGCTGGGCAAAATAATAATAGATGATTCAAAATACATTCTGCCAAAAGAAGCTGTGTACACTGTAGAAATGAATTGAAAAATACTACATCACATGCTACGAAAAGCACTGGTAGAAGAACTATCACCTCGTAAACTCATCTGTTTTGATCACTTCAACATGTGCTTTGATTAAGAAATCAAAATCCCATGACACTCGGAAATAAAGTAAACTGAATGCCTGTAAAATCAAATTAGTTATTAGTCCCCTCTATAAACACTAGATATTTTTCCTGTTTGTTGAAAAATATACATTTCATACACTACTTTGTGTCCAAAATTCACAGAGCGTAAGTACAGAAATTTACAATAGCGGAATTAAATGGGAACTAATCAAGTCTTCATCAAAATAAAACAGTTCTTCGCCCAAACTTTATAATTACCATTTATCCAAAATCTTATAAAACTGAATGATAATTTTAAAATTTCTTTTAGTTTTCCAAATATTTAAATGGAGTAACCTGCTGAATATCAATAGCCTCTTGAAATAAATTTGACGGAAATGGTGAAGGGAAGAGAGTACAAGGAGCGCTTTGACATATATCGCTGCGATTAGGTGCTTTTCTTGTTCGCATCACCATACCATGTGCCTGCTTGTAGAACGAATAATCAATTTCAGGCCAAAATTTGTAAATTTAAATTGAGAAAACTGCAAATTGCCAACAAAAATCAAATTACTTTAAACTTAGCTTTGAAGTGATTAATAAAGCTAGTTGATATAAAAAAGGAACGACAAACTAACATGCGCCCAATCAACTGTATTTTCTACTATTTCTTTGATAAATTTCTCATCCATTAGCTCCAATTTCGGGTAGAAATCCAACGTAGGGCTAACTGTTGATCTCAGAGCCATCTTGTTAATTACTGAAAAGACGAATACTTGAAAATTTATCTAGGCAATGACAGGGAAGAATAAGGCATATCAACATGTCATTCGAAAGATAAGAAAAAAAGAGTAGAAGTTTCGACAAATCTATTGTTTTTCCTTTATCATCAAGTTACATGCGGTTCTGGGCTTTATATTGCACATTTACACGCTGTCGTGTTTAGATCACGCATTTAACTAAATGAGTATGCGATGAAGTTTTAACCGTGCATGACAGAAAACATTTACTCATGATTCTCTTAGAACTTACTGATTGCTCTTTTCTTTACATAACTGAAACCAATTTAACTAAAATTAGAAAACTAACTCAACTCACAAGCTATAAGCATTTGAACAAACTCACTTCACATATCAAGAAGGGACGAATTTTTAACACCTGCAATGAGAACTACTCGAAAAATATGCCTTAGCGAACTACTCATTAGTCACTGACCTTCAAAACGAGAAAAATTAAACGAGAATTTTCTCACATATTTGTATATGTCTTGCAGACATATGAATCGTTCTAGTTTTGCTCTGATTAAGCGTATATTCTAAGAACATTAAATTTGCGTGCAGTTAGGCTTATTAAAAAAATTAATGCTTTCGTCACTAAAAAGAGAAACACGCATATTAATGAGATATCTATGTAAACGTTAAAATAAGAGAAAATGCAAACTGATGCTTTCTAAATAGACTGAGAAAAGAGCTCATCTGAAGGCAACAAGACAAGTAGAATAAGTTATCGGAAAATATCAATAGCAGTAACTAATTTATCGTCTTTCATACATTTCATAAGAACGAAGGTAAAATAAGGAGTTTACACAATAACCGGTATAATTCACATGCACCTGTAGAAACGAAATTTCACTGAAAAAGAATTATTATTGTAATAAACAAGCATTTCACACCCATCAACAGTTATTAAATAACGGAGTTAATAGTTAAAAGATTAAAAATAACAATAGTGAAATAAAACTGTCTATTTGCGGTTTTTTTGAAAACAATATGACAGTCTTACTGAAGCAATGATTTCTGCAGCAATCTTATTATCGACAAACTTAGTGAGATGATACTTTGTATTGCTATTTACCGATTCTGGTATTCTTTAAAGAGTAGTAGAATACTTAAATAACTTTGGGTATCAAATAAAGTATGTTTAAAAAATGATTTTTTCTATTGCTAATTTCAAATCTATTTTCTGTAACAGAGAATTAGTAAAGATAAACTTACCAGTTCTTTGGGAAGCCAAAATTTTTAAAAGTACACTCACATGAGCAAAAACTTTCTGAGACTTTTTACATTACTAACATTACTACTATTTTTCAAGACATTTTTTTCTGAGTGATTTTCATTTATGAAGCCATATTTTAAAAAATTTTTCATTCAAAGATGATACTAAATCATATCGTTCATAGGAACTTACAATTCCATTAAATAAAATGCCAAGTCATAGGATATTATCTAGCACCACTTTCTAACTGGTTGTATAGTAAATGAGCATAGTTTTTTGTCAATAAAACTATTTGCTGGAACAACTTGAAAACTTCATCCTTTCTTATTCTCCTTCTTGAAATTCGAATAGTTTTTTGCTCAGAGGTAATGAGTGATATTATTCATGCAATAGACTGAAAAGTGATTACTATAATGAAAAGGATGTCCTTACGATGTGCTCTTCGATTAGACAACGCTCTGTTCTAACAATTGTAATACATTTATGATTATTAAAGAAGCAATCATTTAAATTTTTCGCTCTTAGCTCTGAATAAAGACATGTTTAACTCAATGTTTTGTATTGAACTCCCTGCACTCTACAAAAAATCAGGTGAATTATTTGCATACGACTTCAAAATTTTAATGTGAAAATCATTTTACTCCATTATCACTACTAGCAGTCAAAAAATCAATTAATCATTTGATAAGTGATTCTATAAGCAAATCAAAATTTATTAAGTTATTGGATCGAAAAAACTCTCTGCAGAGTAAGAAGAAAAAGAGATGTGAAATGTGAAGTATGATCAAAAACCATATGAAGAGAAACATTTGGTGTATAAATTTGGATTCTGAAAAATTTGAAATAAATTGTTGGAAGCAGAAAAAACGACAGAAATCATGGTGTAAACGTATGAACATATTGCAAATATGATGGTACTACAGAGGAATTCTTACAGGCGATCTATAACGCACTGGTTTAATTTGAAAATTTGTTCAATTTATTGCCTACAGTCACTTTTGTGAATAAATCTACGAGTCTTTTCTCTTACCAATATTGCTGAGAACAATAATTAATTTACAGCGAGCAACTAACAACTTATCAGATAGTATTCCATTATAACTCTGCTCAATCTATTTCTTTATTCCCAGAATAATGCACACTGTTTTGGAAAGAAAGGTGTAAAATGTGCCAGTCTTAATGCTACTTTAGCAGTCTAACAGTCTATTATCACGCAGTACTCTTAGAAGAAATGTTTACATAAAGTGATACTTCATGCACACATAGAGACATATCATGTGGAGATTGCTGACGACAGCGAACGAGAGTATAAGTGAGAGAGCGAATAAGCAATGTTCGCAAGCAAGACTATCTGTTCGCACAGCCATGTGCCAAGCTCTGTTCTCTGCCTTGTTAAGTTTTTACTTTGTCATTATCTTTTGAATCTTTACCTCATTCATAAATAAAGCTTGAAAATGTTTTATTCTGTTTCTAGTAGTTTACTGGAATCGGATCAGATGTAATGCTCCAGATGCTGTGCAAGTACTGCACAATTTCTAGACTACAGAAATAATCTAAGATAAAATAGCTACATTTGCTTTGTCCCAAATTCTTGTTTGAGATACATTATAAATGCGAATGAGTTAATATGTTGATAGTAGTGCTCTGGAGATAAAAGCCACTTTAAAATAAATTGATTTGTTAGTTTCATGCATGCGGCAATTTGCCTCGGAACTTTTTTCTTCTCAAGAAAGTGATGCAAATACAACCATAAGCAAAATTTATTGCATTCTTTGCAATTTTTTAGCAAGCAAAAAAATGTTTTAAACAGACTGGAACCATCTTCTTTGTTATTACATGAAGCACGTGACTTGCAAAATCTCTCAATTGGAATCTGCCATCGTCTCAACTACTATTTCAAGCAGTCCTTATTTTGAGATGAGATAACTATTACTTCAAAATAAAATCTGAAAAATGTCGGAAGTAGTCCCTATGAACGACAAGGATCAATTTGACAGTTTGTGTGGATTAGCCAAATCTTGGCCTATAACTCATTTTGTGTGCATGAGGAATGAAAAGAAAGAATTGCCGCTATAAGTTGACACATTTACAAGTAATGTCTGTGCTGTGCACATAGGCAATTTGTATTTGGTCGATCTTGAATCTTATTCGTAAGATGCCTAACATCATAGTATTCATTTAAATATAAATTTTACGCTATCATCTATTGTAGAAAGACTTTCAGTATGTACTAGTAATTTCCATTGCATCATGCGATGATCATTTCTTTTTCTCTGCGCGTTCATTCATGAAAGTATTTATGTTAATAATCTGCTGTACAGGCAATGAAATATGCTAATATTTATCAGTGATGTTGTTTGTAATACCAATGAACTTCTGATAACATCGATTTGGATCACTTTGATGATAAATTTAAAACCTGATGGCAATTCTTTATAAATACAGTACAGAAAAAATAAGGTTCTCTCCAAAAGTAGATGAGAACAATAAGAAGAAAATTGCTGCCTAATTACATATGGCGAATTAAATGTTTAATATTAAAAATCTTAATTAAATACTAACTGCATTCGCCGGAGATTTTTCGTTGTCGACATTGTTCTGTTATTTTTCGGAAAATTCTTTTTTCCAAAAGTGTTACTGAAATAAAGTGGCTTCAGCTTTGGTATTAATAGATAATTCCACCAGATTATATTTATGAAATACTTCTTTCTGTACTATTTCTACCAGTAAATCATTATTGTCAACTACGAAGTCAAAACCAAACGCATAATGAAGCATCTCAGTTAAACTTGTGACTTAGAAAACAGAATTTGATAAGATTTCGAACCAAAGGTTGCGTTTAATAAAATGTATTCTTGGAATAAAAATTTTTAGTGAATGAGAAGTCTGGTTTTCACAGCTCATTTTTGTCTCTTGCTCAATAGAAATTTTCTTGAATTAGGAAGGCCAAATTTATTTGTCTTTCATACATCAAAAAGTTACTAAAAATATTGAAAGTGCACTACGGAGCATTCATCTGTAAACCATGAACAGGAAAAATAACAATGGAAAAAGTAATATAGTCCAAAATTTTTAACTTCCTAAGTTCGAAATGTTATTTATTTGAAGTCAGACGGAACTTCGTTATAGAATATTGTGCTGAAGTTTATTTTAAATTGGTCCTGGTTTGGGCATACTTTAGACCTTTTCTAAAATGTTTTTGTTTTTCATTTGGTCTTCTAATGTAGACATTTGTAAAATTATTCAAATATTCGATATTCGTATCTTTAATTAGTGACTACTGTAACAGTGTATTTGGAAATGAATTATTGCCGGCTACGAAGTGTAAAAGGATTATTTCGGAATTCGCCCAGGAGGATGATAAGGAGACCAAATAAGAAATGATCAGAACAACTAGGATGATATGGGTTGAGGGTCGAGAACAGAAAGTGAAGAGTGAAAATGAAATGCTTATAAACTTCTCGATGCAGTTGTGCAGTGCCATATGCTAATTCAGGTTATCATGTTTTTAATAAGGAATTGACAAATCATTTGAATTCTCGTGCACATGTCATCTTAATTGAACATATCTCAAAATGCTGATAATTTAAATTTCGGCACTCTATTCAAGTTCAAGACCTATTTCATCATTTATATTTCTCCAACATTATAATTTTTAAGACTTCTATGATTGGCATATGGTTTCCAATTCCAGTTCCTGATTAGAGGTAAAGGAAGCCATCAGATTACAGTGTACTAATGACACAATATATCA